TAAAAACCTGATTTACGAAATCATGGCATTTATATTTGGATAACAATTTACAACTCGTAAATCGTAAATATGTTTTGGTTTTTAGTACTTCTATAATACGTCTATGCGTAAAATTTGCGTATTTTTGTTTGTATTTGGTCAATAATTGACTCAATTCTTTCAAGAAAACCCTTAGAAACTTCAAATCTCGTAATTTTTATCATTATTGTAAATTGTAGTATATTAAATTTAATCATCTTAATTTTGAATCATCTTATTGTCAAAATGACAAGTTTTTTGGTATAAAATAGGTAATAGGTAATTGCAGGCCCTAAAATATCGGTCGCTCGATATTCGTATTCTGCATTCTTTTGAAATCGATTGTTTATAAGGCTTGTGAACACAAATATATGAATATGCCCCCCCCCCCAACCCCCCTCAATTATCCGAGCTGGCTACGCCGCTGTTAGATCCTTTAAAATGGAAATAAGTATGAATGACACAAATTATTTACTATCTTCACAACATTTACGGATTTACCGTTCGGAAATAATATATTGTGCTGATATTCATTTGTGTCATTCAGACTTATTTCCGAACTAAACTGAGCTGAAGGTCATCGGACATCATCATACATATGGCTGAGCCAAACTCGCAGTCATCGGACATTTTGTCAGACGGCCCTGTAAAAGTTATTTTAAGGCCTGAATTGTCTTACCCCAGTACTTGTCCAATTACCTATTTTATACCAAAAAAACGCATCTAATAATAAACGGCTTTAATATTTATAATTTATTGCGTCTTCATTTTCCGGCTTCGTAGGCCAAGAAAGATTCGGAAATTGTTTTTTCGTCATTCGGAAATTTCTGCCCGACACTCCCAACTATACATGCTATAGCTACAGACCCTGAGTATAATATAAAATTAACCTTTTTATCTTTAAAAGGATAATATATACTGTGTAACATTAATGAACCTTGAAGACTTATAGCATTTCAAAACGTACGTTTCAAAACTCGCTACATTAGTATAATATTTATGTTACTCTTTTACAAGTCAAATATTTTTAAACGTTTAAAAGGCCAATGCTATAAACGTGAATAGATGAAAAACATATACTAAACAAAAGCTTTAAGAACTGTTCAAAAGATACGTATACTTTTTAATTTGAACTATATGTAGCGCGTAACATTTTTAAAATATAACTGGCATCTTTCTTTCCAAGAAAACATTAACATTGACTAAAAATACTTTCACTGCTGCTGTACAAAATCCGTGAATATTCCACCCACCGACCCACGGGACGCAAGAAAATAACTGCTGAATAATTCGGCTAAATGCATGATCCTCAGGGGAAACTGCGTTTAAGGAGCATCCTTTTAAGGTCTAAAGACTATAGACTAATATCTTTTAGTCTAAAGACTATAGACTAATATCTGTTATATCACCAGAAACAATATTTTAGTGGCAAAGTCTTTATATATCTAAACCATTTGACAACATCGAAATTTGTCAACATTGTTAAGCCAGTTTTCCCCAGATCCACGATAAACTCCAGTGATATAGTACTCAGGCTTTGAACAATTTGACCATCCTTCTCTATCAAACGATACTCCAACATCTTCATCATAACACAATCCATAGCGGTCAGGATGATTGTTGGGTCTACAGCAATAGCCTTCTTCGATGCTGTGTAAAAATTGGCCTTTATTGCGATATAATCCATTCAGAAAGTAACCCGAAGGGCAAAGGCTCCATCGGTTATTACTGAATTAAAATAAAACAAAATAGGTGGCATCGATATTAGTAAATTTAAAGGGGAGTGAAATTTTTTATTTTTGGTGAATATATATACTTTTTATATAGAGATTAGGGTAAAAGCAAAATGAAAATTTGTCATTTTTTCATTCAAATTTCATCCAGATTCGATCATAATTAATTTTGTTAGATAAATAATGGCTTAGATATAGGATAATTTGGATAATTTTATGGATGGATAATTTAATGGATTAAGCCCTAGAAGCTCAAAAAAAAATTTTCTGAGGGTTGATCCCCCAGACCCCCTCCTACACAAGTTCCCATATTCTAATTTACGACCTCCTAGTTAGGTTAACTAACAAATTTTTAGAAGAAGCCTATATGTGAAGGATACATTTAATACATACAAATCAAGAGATTTCCACCAGTTAGCTGTTCTACAATTGCCATTCTGTTCGCTGAACTCTTGTATCGAAGAACAACATCTTGTTTCTTCAAGTAAAGTGATCGGATCACTATCACTATACGGATGATTTCGATAAAATCCGGTGATGAAAAGATTATCCTTGCCACATTTTGACCAGCCAGACGATTTGAAACTTTCCCGCCAGCTTGCATTTGAGCAACTTGTATGACTCATAATCGCTAAGATTTAATAAATGTTAAAATGTAGCAATAAATTATAATTTAATGACGTAACTTCATTTGAGAGTTGAGAGACAAATCGAAAAATAAATAGAAGGTTCGGTTCGGTGGGGGGAGGGTTGGGGGGTGGGGAGAGCGTTGTGAATGAGTAAAATGAAGAACAATTTCGGAGCGAATGACTTTGATTCATTTTGCTTGAACTTTCGGTTAATTCCATTCTTATTTTGAGGGATTCGGACTTGACGATTCGTACAGTAACTTGTATACATGAGATCGCTCCTTGTCGACCGTGTAGTTATGATATAAATATGCTTTAAACCTTACTTGATGATGGTTTTTGTGTTATCTCAGGAGGAGTGCTAGTTGAAACTGGTTCTGGAGGTTTCTAGAAATTAAAAGACAGTCTGCTTAAAAGATACCAATTCTCGAGCTATATTCACGCTGCTTATACAAGCAGCTCGTGGAGCGAGTTGGAATGATAGATCGACTCATAATGAGAAACTCATATAAAACATTTTTCACGTTAATTATCTGGTACTTACTTTGCCTATGTATGGAATTCTTTGGTTGAACATGCATAATAACATGGTGGCCATTTTGGGCGAATATAGTGGAAATCAATTTGTTAAGTCCTGCACCTCGTTGGTGCATATTGTCTAGAAACGTGATACATTAGTATTTTTCTCACATGAGCTTGCTCACCAAGGCATGTGGTACAATACAACAATGACATCAACGCATCCAGACACGCGCAGAGTATAATGGGACTGAGTGCTCAAACGACCACAATGCATGGAAATGAGTAATTTTTTAGGTATTCAGTGAACGCGAATATGAAAATTTTTCTTTTCTTGTATAAGAACGGTTCATATACTTACCCTATTAGGATCGAGTAATTGGTAGTGATCAAATTGGACGTCCTTGAGTAAGAGATCTGTTTTTTCTGAATGAATATCCCTGAGTAACTCACAATTTTTGTCAGAATTTGAGGTTTTTCTGAAGTTAGTAGATCTACATGATGTGTCTTCACTCAGACATAGCAGGACACATCCCACTCCAGTGTGAGCGTAAACATATTTTATCACTGTGGTGTTCAAACGGTGACCTTTAAGATTTTGAACAAATAGTAAAAATAGATCATTATTATGCATCTGAAATAAATTAAACGTAAATTTACGGTGAAAGTCACAGTTTGATCCATGGAGGGGGGCATCCATCAATTGGCTGGGTTTTTTCTAATACATGCACTCGAGGCAAAAGAAAATACAAGGGTATATTTTCCTGAATGTATATGCTTTCCTTAGCAAAATAATCAAAATATTAACGGCTTATTGACCGAGCGTGAGGTCTGTACTGTAAAATCTGTTTTTTGCATGGACCTTCGCTCCTTCGTCGCTCGGTCCACACTAAAAAGCTCGGTCTGATATTTCACAGTACAGACCTCACGTTCGGTCAATAAGCCGTTAGTATTGCATAATTTTTGGAACTGCACGGTTGTAGTATTGGTGGCTCTGTGATTAGTGAATATGTGTGGCTTGGACGTCTTTTTTTGGGCGTGCATTTGGGCGTGCATTGGACGTCTATTTTTTGGGCGTGCCTCCACCAGGAGGTTATGTTTTTATATCTGTTTGTTTGTCAGCGCGATAAGGTAAAAAATATCAAACGTATAATTACGAAAACTTGTCATTGACATTACCCTTGGCCAAATTGATTCGATTTTGGTTAAATATTGGTTAAAATTGGATGAGAAATCAGCAATCGTTTGTCTTGCTTTGCTGTGCAGAGTCAAGTGAATGCGTAGTTAGCCCATTGAATAATTTATATATTCATGATACTTATACTCAACTCGCTGGCGGAGGCATACAGTCTCCGAGAGCCTTCTAGTTGTAATTGTGGTCAGTGTCATGTGAAAACAGCGCTTTTCGTCACACTTTGCCAAACTTGGCCAAACCGACTACAAATTCTATTTGCGCGGCGTACACCGCCGAAGCAATTTTTTTTTTCCGTAGACAGTCGGACTCCTCATTGATAGTCGGACGCATCATTGACCCGCGCCCTTAAACAAAACATTCAGCGGATACTCTTCTTATTAGATGCGCTTCCCAGTGTGTCCTGTGCGCGCAATTGGTGATTTAAAAACGAAGCAAATCGTACATCTTTCTACCGGTCGAAGAAGAACAATGTGGAATGATGGATATATGGTGTACCAGTGGGTTACGCAGGGTACGAAGGGATCGATCGATAACGCGCGGAGGCCTGGACGCCGATCAGTGATGCGTTCGACTATCAATGAGGAGTCCGACTGTCTATGGAAAAAAAATTTGCACCGCCGAATGGATTTTGTCATATGTTGCAAGTTTAATAAAATATTAAACTTAAAATCGTCACTGACGTACGTTCGGTCATTGTTCATCTTAATTCTTGTTATCCTGTTGTATTATAGACACATATATTACGGTTGCCATAGAGCATTTTAGTTATTTAAAATACAAAACAATTGACACTCTATAAATTATTAACAATTGCAACTTTAAGGAGGCTAAAACTGACACTAAAGTATCACATCTTGTCTCCAACTCACGACTAGATGAGAATGGTTTGCGTCGTCGAAATAGGAACCTTTATATCTTTATACAAATGTGAAACACTCCCCAGTCATCAAGTAGTCGGCAAGATATTAGCGAGCTTACGCAAGCGACGTTTTTGACAACACGAACGTTCACCGGAAGCAAATTTGACGTTATCAACCAATCAACATTCTTGACTCAGTCTTTTATCGTTACTAAGGTTACTTCACATGATGAACGTGCGTTTTAGTCTATTGAACATGGCGCAACGTACGAATTTTAGGTGTAACTTTACCAAATTTTTAGTGAAGAAAGCCAAGAAAATGCTGATTTTGAAAATCTTTATTTGATGGGTGTTCTGTTTAATCATGTCCAGTATTGGCTGACTAAAGAAATATATAGGTATCTCATAAAAAATCAAAATATGTTTATAGTTTACCTCAAGGTTTGTGATTGAATCTTCATAGGTACGGCAAAAAAAACGTGCGCGGAAAATTTCTCTTCTTCAATGGTTTTTCTGATATGACGTTTTCTTTGACAACTTCGTGCATTATCAGTGACAAATCCAAGAATCTGGGCATATCAGAAAAACCACTAAAGAAGAGAAATTTTCCGCACACTTTTTTTTACCATGCTCCTGAAGATTCGAATTGCGATACCTAGACGCCCTAGACAAACGTTGAGGTAAACTATAAATATATTTTGATCTTTTTATGAAGGTACATACATATTTATTCAGCCAGCCAATACTGAAAATGTTTAACTTGAACACCCATCAAATGAAAATTTTCGAAATCAGCATTTTCCTGGCTTTCTTCACTGAAAATTTGGTAAAGTTATACCTAAAATTCGTTGCGCAATGTCCAATAGACTAAAACGCACGTTCATCGTGTGAAGTAACCTTAAGCTCGCTATTGAATCCCAGTCGACAAATTGTTTTCGTAGTCGGCAAAACGTGAATTTGGATAGGAAGAAAAAATAAAAATATTTGAGTGACACTGGTTAAAAATTAAAAATGATATGAAATTTACGAAAACGTTAGGGGAAAATGGAACGAACAACGGTAGCTAAGTTAGTTAAAAAAATTTTCCGTTCGCCAACACTTTAGAAGTGACTCGGAAAACTTTCCGTTGATAACTTGAAAAAATTCACTTACGTATATACATCCTCTCCATCTATTCAAAGAGGTCTAGTGTCGCCACCCCTGACTATACTGTCCGGCCTTGCTCATGCAAGCTTATAGTCACTATATTTTCAACACGTATGAGATAAAGGCGGATTTCCATTCAGTGCAAAATGTTGCGCGTGCATGCGACTTTTTGCGATCGGTTTCTTTTGAAAATCAAACAGTCAAGCGGAACAAATCTCATTAGCTTCAGTTGACTGCACACATTTCAAAAGAAAGCGAACGAAAAAAATCGATCGTGCGACATTTTGCACTGAATGGAAATCCGAATAATCAATATTCTAACAAAGCATTGAATACTTCGCATGTCTAAAAGGACATCAGTTTTTACAAACACTTGCAATTTATCAAGACGTACCTTCCTTTGATCCGTCAAAACAAAAGTCGAGCCCTTCTCCAAACGTTTGGAGATTCAAAAATATCAGCGACAAAAGATTGAATCTCAGAAATACAGAAGCCAAACGGCAAGATTGTGCAGTCGATGAGAGCTTTGACGAATCATAGCAAATCCCTCTTACCCTTTTCCGTTGAATGGGTAGCATATTGATATTACTTATTTGTCTGTTTGCTTTGGATATTGACAGAAAGGCAGTGGATCTTTTCATCCAGAAGACCTGTTCGTGCTTTCGTACAGGTTGACTGATGAACAACATCATCATAGCTACATATACAAATTTGCCACCTGTATACCGTATAGTCTAGAATGCTATAACTAATTAAAGACTCCGTTGGGAGCACCGCTAAGCATTTGTTGATTAGCTCTCTCATCCGTAATTGACATTTAGCGTGTTATGTATAAAATATATAAATACCTACTGACGGAGTATAAGAAAAAGTATAATTATTATACATGTTCAAAATATATCAAGTTCAGAAAATATTCGGCAAAGTGTTTTTCTCGATATATGAAAATCGTTCACAAATTGTCAAGATTAATTTTAAAACAACTGTTGGAAGCAATGTGCCAATTAAGGGTGCCATGTTAGAATAGCATTACATCATGCGCCGCTTTCAACCGCGGCTGGCCCGTTTGCCGAGGTTGGACTTTGTATAAAAAAGAAAACGAGGGAAGATCAAGTCAAAACCTTCATTCATATAAACACTCGCAAAGACGGGCTGCTCTGTAATTTACTATAATAGGTAATTCCAGCTTTTAATTTATGCACGCAAGGGGTGGTATAGCATATATATTCTTGCTCACACCGCACCCTATATACCTGTTCTGCCCCCGACCGTTCTACATATATTCTTACGTTGTTTATAGATTAACTAGAAATATATGCATGCAGAAACCCCTCACTTTGCTAGCATGAAGAACTATATTTTCCAAACTTGAAGTGTTTGAAGTGGTTGTCATGTTTACACGATCATTTTATTCTTTGTATTTTTAAAATTGAAACAAGAAACAAAGAATATCACTTTTAATTAATGATGTTATATTGTTCTATTATATAGTTTGCTCCCCTCTTTATTTAAAGACTTTTAAAACTCCAAAATATTAAAAACGTGTAATTTACTAACTAAACATACACAGAATGTGCTGTCTTTTTTTATTGTACGCAGCATCCCTTTTTAAAGCAAACAACATCAATATTTAGAACAAATTTGCCTTGGCCTATAGGTTTTATGATTGTTTGCAATCTTTGTCCCTGATCTTCTGTTATCAAGCAAACACAAATAAAACTGTGTGGCTGCTCGTCTCATGACATTAACCATTTTTTCGGGTTCTGAATTTTTCGGGTTTCTACCGTACATCTACGTTTTGAGATCAGCATGAGGTCCACCCATGACAATACGAAACAAAGCCATGCACCCGCGATTATTGATGAGCTTTTTAATATACAGGGTGTCTCAAAAAAAACCAAAATCATTGAAATTGACGTATTGTTCGATATTCAATGCCCTAGCACTAAGTTAATCCCACGAGTGCATAAAAGATTGACATAACTGCTATAATGCATGGTAATACTCAGCGTAAACTTGTTATGTCAGGCATAAAGTACTAAACCCACGAATTTACGAAGCATTTTTAAATTCCCATGAGCAAACAAACGTTCACTTTACAAAGATATTTTAATTTTTTAAAACAAAATAATCACCCTGTCAAAATCCTTTGTGTTACGGCATTGAAATTCGAACAATACGTTATTTCAATGATTTTGGGTTTTTTTGAGACACCCTATACAGGTCTATAAAAAAACTGAACCCTTTCAAATTCAAATTAGCTATAACGTATTGTAGTAATTTGACAGTTCTAATTGCCTTGAATTAATGGTTGGGTAAGAACACAAGGAATACTGTATTTCTTTTATATTTTCTAATTTTTATTTCTTTGAGTTTTGTCCCATGAGTACAAGACGTAGTGTTCTTATTCAACCATTAATTTGAAGCAATTAGAGCTGTCAAATTACTACACTACACTACGTTATAGCTAATTTGAATTTGAAAGGGTTCAGTTTTTTTATACACACTGTAGACTTCGCCAATGCTCAAAATGTAGTATTGGTGAACATGTGTGGCTTGGGCGTCTATTTTTTGGTCGCGTGCATTCCTGATACATTCCGGTTTCTGCATGACTACCTCCGCCAGGAGGTTATATGTTTTCATATCTGTTTGTCTGTATATATGTTTTCATATCTGTTTGTTTGTCAGCGCGATAACTTAACGTATTTACGAAAATTTGTCACTGAAGTTGCCCAAAGCCAAATTGATTCAATGTTGGTTAAATATGCGTTAAAATTGGATGAGAAATTAGCAAATGTTTGCCTTTGCTTTGCTGTACAGAGAAAACTGAATGCGTAATTAGCCCATTGTATAATTTATGCATGATACATAAACTCATTTGGCTAGGTAGCGGCTAGTTATAATTGCGGTCAGTTAATCTCATGCGAAAACAGTGCATGCTTTTCGCCACATTTTGCAAAACTTGGCCAAACCGACCACAAATACTATTCGGATACACCGCCGAATGGATTAATATTTTGTCATATGTTGTGGTCTTGTGGGAAGTTTAAGTTTAAAAAAATATTTTGGTATCGTCATTGACGTACGTTTGTCATTGTTTATCTTCTTGCTACCCAGTTGTATTATAGACACATATATTACGGTTGTCATATAGAGCATTCAAGTTATTTAAAACACAAAACAATTGATACTCCATAAATTGTTAACATTTTCAACCTGAAGGAGGCTAAAGCTGCAGACACTAAAGTATCACATCTTGTCTCCAACGTACTCATGCACGACTAGATGAGAATGGTCTACGTCTTCGAAATAGGAACCTTTATATCTTTATACAAATGTGAAACACTCCCAGTCATCAGGTAGTCGGCAAGATATTGAATGGTTTGAATCCCAGCCGGCAAATTGTTTTCGTAGTCGGCAAAACATGAATTTAGACAGGGAGAACATATTTCTTCAAAAACTTTATTCGTTAGGTATTCTCTTCGTTAGTATGAAGAACATGAGTTACAGTTTGTTTAGTGCGTCCTGATAACTAATGTTTGGGAATATGATTTGCATTTGCGCGTTTTTGAATACGTTCTAATTCATCTGACAAATACTTGGATAATTGGAAAAAAGGACTGTGACACTGATTAAAAATTAAGAATGATAGGAGATTTACGAAAACGTCAGGGGAAATTGGAACGAACAACGGTAGTTAATATTTTTTCGCTCGCCAACAATTTTGGGAAAAGAAATATTAATTAGTGGTTGAAGTGACTCGGAAAACTTTCCGTTGATAACTTGAAAAAATTCACTTACACCACAAAAAAATTTTTAAAAAATTTACTCCACCCATTCAAAGAGGTCTAGCGCCACCCCTGACTAGACTGTCCGGCCTTGCTCAAGCTTAAAGTCACTATATCATTTTCAACACGTATGAGATAAAGGCGGATTTCCATGCAGTGCAAAATCTTGCGCGAGCGACCTTTTGCGATCACTTTCTTTTGAAAAACAAATAGTCAAGCGGAACAAATCTCATTAGCTTCAGTTGATTGCGCAAATGTCGCACAAATACATTTTTAAAGTATTCAAATGATGAAAGCTATATTGTTGTTTTTTCAAAAGTGTTTATTAGCGAGTGGGAACGACCAACATGGCCGCCATCTATTCAAATGGGGGTAGTCGCTGGAATATTCTTGGCTTCAATTTTACTAAAAGAGATGCGCTATCTAGTGTATATAAGATATCTATGAGAAATACATGCATGCAGAAACCCATCACTTCGCTAGCATGAAGAACTATATTATTTGAAGTAGTTGTCGTGCTTACACAATCATTCTATTTTTTGTATTTTTAAAATTGAAACAAGAAACAAAGAATAACACTCTTTAAAATGATGTTACACTATTTTATTATATAAATTTTACTCTTCTCCTTCAAATAAGGGACGGGCCATTAGAAAAGTGATGGGGGAGTGGGGCAAAACCTAAAAAATATTATTCCCAGAAAAAAATCTTCCCAGGCATAGTGCAAAAAAAAATTCCTAGCTTGGAAGATATGCCTATAAATTTCACTTAAAAAAATATTTCCAGCAATCAAGTGAGAAAAAAAAATTCTTCTATAGGTGTACAAAATATATATATATATATATATATATATATATATATATATATATATATATATATATATATATATATATATATATATATATATATATATATATTGCCTCTCAGAAAATCCCCCCCACCCCATGGCTTTTCTAATGGTCCGTCCCTAACGACTTTTAATACTCCAAAATAATAACTAGGGATCCAAGGATAGTGTGAAGTTTCAAATTGAAAAAGACACTGCAAGAACTATATAGGGTCGCCGACAACCTAGAAAAGCTGATGGCTTACACTACGAAATAAACAGTTACCAAAGGCATTTCATCTCATTATTTATTGCTTTTAATACGCTCGGCACACGAGTAGCGTGATGTTTGAAACAAGCCTAACACATCGGAAACGTGCCTTGTGAAACTGATGCAATTTTTCTATTTATTGTGATGCTACACGCGACAATTCGAAATTTAAATTGTTTCACCAACAACCAAATTTTGCATATTCTAAATTTTCATTTGCATTTGCAGCTGTCGCTAAAAGCATCCCCACGAGGCTACTGCTATGCTAAATTTATCTAAAACTATAATTGAAATAGCTGTATAAGATATGTTATGAATAATAAGCACTACGTCGTTACATCATCAAAAGGACGCATTTTATCCTCATCCGTTCCGTATTTTGTCCGCATATTCGATCCGTGGATCCGCTCCATCCGCTTCCGCATTTTAACCTAATTGTGACATGTTTCACAACAACAAGTCTCATTGACCTTTGACTTTTCCCAGTGTCACGTCTATTTTCAGCTTTTCGCATGTGTTGAATACATTAATGTCACTTTAGATTTCAATAGTTTCACAGTTAAGCAGTGTTTAAATTAAAGCAGGTTTGACAAGCTTTGATACAGTTCTGTTTACAGAATACTACAGATTGATTCTCGTAAGATCTGGTAGAGTTATCGTTGCACTGAACACGAGTTTGCACCGTTGACAACGACGGCGTTGTGCTAGACAGTAAACAAAGAGAAGGTCCGTGACAGTACACGTTGGCTACATGGGGTTAGGTTAAAACGCGGAAGCGGATGCGGAACGGAACGGATGCGGAACGGAACGGATATGCGGAACGGAACGGATATGGGTTAAAATGCGGAACGGAACGGAAATGCGGAACGGAACGGAACGGAACGGAACGGATATGGGGTTAAAATGCGGAACGGAACGGATTTGGGGTTAAAATGCGGAACGGAACGGATATGGGGTTAAAACGCGGAATGGAACGGGAATAAAAAGTTTTTTAAAAACAGACATGATTTTTCATGTTCCGCGTTTTAACCCCATATCCGTTCAGTTCCGCATTTTAACCCCATATCCGTTCCGTTCC